AGGTGAATGTCACATGAAAGACTCCACAACAGTCATCTCCGGGCAGGATAGCTGTGCGGTCATTTAGTTTTATAATCAGCCACACACAAAACATAGTGCTTATTTTTCTTTTGCTGTTTAGTGATGCAAATCAATACCATTCAAGTATGGGAATTCTCCTCCGGGGATCAGTAAAGCATGTATGTATGTATGTATGTATGTATGTATGTCATGGGCGTCGCTGCCATTCAATCTGAAGGGGACGTGTCCCCCTCCCTCACATTTCATAATTATTCCTTTGGACCCCCCCCCACATTTAACATAAAATATTAGTTTTATGCCAGTGTGTTCCCCCCCACATTCAAAATGCTTCTGACACCCCTGATGTGTGTATGTATGCAAGTATGTGTGTATGTATGCAAGAATGTGTGAATGTATGTGTATATGTGTATGTGTGTGTATATGTACAGTATGTATGCATGTATGTGTGAATGTATGTGCGTGTGTGTGCGCGTGTGTGTGTGTATGTACGTCCACAGTAGTAGTTACAGACAAGACAAGGAAGAGCATATTTAACTATAATAAGCAAACACTATAAATTACTACAACGAAAATATAAAAAACCAGGAGAATTTCTTTCATCTTTCAGGACTCAGACAAAGCCTGGGCATAAACAGATCCAAAAGATTCTGCCCTGTAGGATGAAAGCAAAACCAAGGAATTTGATAAAAACCAGGTCATACTAAAGATTACCAGAAAAAGAGCCATAATTTTGGTCGAACTGAATTTTATCTGAATAATACAGAGCATGAATGAAATTACATGATGTGAAAACAACACATTTATCTAGCAGATGCTTTAATCCAAAGTAATATATGTTTCCTGATAAAGCAGGGCAAGGTTGATGTTGAAATTATCAGTGATTAGAACTGGCAACCTTCTGACCACAGGCACATCGTCCAAACCAACTGAGGTATGCAGTGCTCCCTTCAAGTTTCAGTGTTCTCTTCATTCATTTCATTGTGCGCACTGAACCGAAAATGATATCACGGAATGGTGAATGCGTACTGTTTCCTTGTAAATACAGGCGCAACCAAAGCTCTGCAAAGCTTGACCTCGACGTGATTCGAACACGCAACCTTCTGATCTGGAGTCAGACGCGCTACCGTTGCGCCACGAGGTCAAAGACACACAGCGGTTTTAATAGTTACAATATTGATAATATTTTATAATACAACTGTAAAATACGAACATGGCTCGTTTACATAAACTACTTCGGTTAGCGATCATTAGCAAATACGACAACAAGAAAAAATCTATTTTCCGACCAATACCAAATTTCATACGGATGACAACACGTGAGACCAAGAGATATCTTTTTAGTACATAAAATGTCAGCTTCATTAATGGTAGAAGTAGCCTAACTGAGAGTGGAAGGCTGAAATAAAATTGCAAGCACAGTTGTGGTCACGCTTGATTCTCCTTTAACGACCCTTTCGCATAATAACCTGGTCCTAATATGGCGCTAAACTACGAGCGTTTCTATTAGACATGACTTTAGAAAATCAGTTTGTTTGATACATCAGTAAGTATCTGCCATTTAACTGTCCACAGAGCAGATGAAATCGTTTTTATAAAGCTGTGTTTGCAGGTTTGTTTCCAGCATTATAAAAATAATTAATTGAGCAAAAAATATGTCTTTGCTGAACATTGAACATTTTTACAGCTACAATAAACTGGAGCTCATACACGCATATCGTTTATTGTTTTATAATATGGTGCGAGTTTAAGAATAAAACAACCCTTGTGTAATTCTGTGTTTATGTATACTGCAAGGAATAGATTCATGCTAAAAAAATCTAGAGTGAAATGAGATCAGGGGTCTTCCTGGCAGGTTCTGGTGGATTGTTTGCCTCTGTTGCCTTGTTGATGTAGATCTGGGATTGGTCAGATGTATATAAATGGAGATGCAGATATGGGACTGGTCAGATGTGTATAATTAGAGATACAGGATTGGTCATATGTGTATAACTGGAGATGCAGGTCTGGGATTGGTCAGATGAGTATAATTGAAGATACAGATCTGGGATTGGTCAGATGTGTTTAACTGGAGATGCTGGTCTGGGATTGGTCAGATAAGTATAAATGGTCTCACAGGTCTTTCAACATGGGAAACTGGGAAATCCATGATTTTAAAAGGTGGGTCAGGGTACACTTGCACTGTTTTTATTATTTTTATTTGCTCTGTCTAGCTGTAATGCCACCCACTCTGAGTGTAAAATCTCAGCCAGATGGAACGAGTGAGTAATATTTTTCCTTTTGGGATTCATCGCTGAGTGCTGCCTCCTCTCCCCTCTCATCACCATGTTTACTCTCTCTAACGCCAGCATCACTGTCACCACAAGTCGCCTTTACGAATCACTGTTTTATAACATGGCAGAAAACAGAAGACAGAAATCAGCTGAACCAATTAAAACATGATGATGAATATGTCAGCTTTCACTCTGAATATTAAAGCCGTCTTCTGTGAAGTATGTGGTGGTGATAAATTAATGTGATGTAAGAAGCTGAATGTGAAATTAAAAATCTTTCAGAAATTCTGTCTCCCTGTTTAACAGATGAAATAAGGGCTTCCTGTCCTAATCTGACAAATTTTACTAACAGCATAAGATAAAGTTGCTGGATGAGCACAGGATGATCGCGAATGACCACTGTGAATGGAGCCTGTTCCTATATCCGTACTCAGTACTCAGACTCCTCTACTTATTTCAAAATAGATTTAATTGATTCTTTCTTGACTTTGATCAATATGAAAAACCCATAATGATAAAGTGAAAACACATTTTTAGTATTTTTACAGGCGTATTGAAGAACTGAACTCAGTAATTTACATAAGTACCGGTAATTCAGATCCAGTACTCAGTAGTTTGAGGGTCATCAGTACTGACGATTACAGCTGTGTGTTTTCTTTTCTTGGGTAAGCTGCTACCTGCTTTGCACATCCGGACCTGAGCGTTTTCCCTCATTCCATATCTTCTCATGGTCTGTCAGATTGGAAAGGGAGTTTCTCTGAACTGCAGCCTTCATAGAGTCCAAACCCGGACTTTGTCTGGGCCAATCAAGGACATTCAGAGATTTGTTCCACCCCAGCATTGTCTTGGTTGTGTGCCTCAGATTGCTGTCATGCTGAATATTTGTTTTTTTTCAAGAACTTCTCTGTACGAGTATTTGGCTCAGTTCATTTCTTCTTCAACCCAGACCAGTTTCTCTGTCCCCATAGCTTGGTTCTGCCACCACCTTGTACTTCACAGAAGACGGCATTAGCTGGGTGATGAGGGGCACCTGCTTCTCACCAGGGCAGGAGAATCTTTCCCTCATGCTCTCAGAGTCCTTCAGAGTCCACATAGCCAACACCAGACCGGCTGCCAAATGCCTGTAACTCAGGAGAAGCTTCTGTCCGGCCACTCATAGACACCTGTTCAATGAAGTGTTGCAAAGGTGGATGTCCATCTGGGAGGTTCTCCCATCTTCACACAGGAACTCTGAATCTGTTAGAGTGGGTGTAAGGTTCTTGTTCACCTCTCTGACCAGGGCCCTCCGTGCCCAATTACCTAATCTGGCCAAATCTCTAAGCAGAGTCATGGTGGTTCCAGACCTCTTCTGTTTGTCAGTCATGGAGGCCACTGTTCTCCTGGGAAGCTTCAGTGCTTCAGAATTAATTTAACACCCTTTTTCACATACGCTGACACAATCACGGAGGTCTACAGAGTTCCTCAGGCTTCATGGTACTTGCTTCTTGTTCAATCACATGAATTTGGTGTGGACCACAGTCAGGTTTTATGGAGATGTCTTTAAAAATATTTTTTATGATGAGTTCAATTTGGAATTTCATAGTAAATGGTCTGTATGGGGGCGACATGGTGGTGCAGTGCTTAGCACCATTGCCTCACACCTCTGGGACCCGGGTTTGAGTCTCCGCCTGGGTTACATGTGTGTGGAGTTTGCATGTTCTCCCCATGTCATTGTTGGGTTTCCTCCAGGTACTCCGGTTTCCCCCCACAGTCCAAAGACATGCTGAGGCTCCTTGGAGTTACTAAATTGCCCATAGGTGTGCATGTGTGAGTGAATGGTGTGTGAGTGTGCCCTGCGATAGGCTGGCCCCCTGTCCAGGGTTGTTCCCTGCCTCGTGTCTGTTGCTTCCGGGATAGGCTCCAGACCCCCACGACCCAATAGGATAAAGCAGTTTGGAAAATGAATGGTCTGTACACTTTATATAACCTGGATATTTTGTAATTGCAATAAATCATTAATTGATTCAACTGTAAAATAAGCTCGCAAAACAAATTTGGGAAATATGGAGGGGGGAAGGTATTTACTTTCTATAAAGACACTGCAAAAAATACGGTCGCAGTTGCAAGGATACAGTCCTCAATAAGCCACGGCAATCAACGTTTCTTACATCAGTCAACCTCCATAATAATATTCAATACCTTATTCAACACTATAGTAATAGTATAGTAGTGGAAAGCTAACGATATATGTTTTATGTATATAGGAAAGACGATACACCTGAGGTGAACTCACAAAATCTACCAAGGTGTGACTTATGAGTAATATAACTTTCAAGTTATTGCGCGGAAGATTGTGTAACATATTTGCAGGAGAATATGTTCTCTCCAAAGCTGTCTGTCAACCGCCTTTTTCAGATACAAAGCTGGCTGAGACATATTAGTTTTAAAGAGTTTTAACCCTGCAACCTGAACTGGATCCTCACTCTCCAAACCCTTCAAGACAGACGCAGTTAGATTTACAGCACTGACGCACTGTAATTAAGATTATTATCTTGCACTTTAATCTACACATAAACTGGTCGTTTCTATGCCGTGCATTCGGGGGCCTGTGCGGGTGAGGCAATTCATAGGACAGGTGACAGTTTTCGACCGACATTTAAACCACTTTGCAAATCAACACCTATAGTAGACCCGTAGATAAAAAAAAAAGAAATAAAGAAAGCACTGTACCTTAGAAGAAATACTTTTTGAGACAGAGCGGAGGAGCTGCTTCCCAGCGGTGGAGAGAGAAAGAGAGCGAGACAGCCCGGCTGACAGCAGCAACGATCCCACCCCCGGCAACCTCTCCCCATCAGCGATAACCGAGAGCAAACACGGGCAGGAAGGCGATGTCCTCCCCCCGTGACAGTCGTAAACTCCCTTAATCATATCAGCTCCCTGCTTACTCTGCTGGCGACAGGAACATTGGCGCCCTGGGCAGCGCCACATCTACCGCTAGGAAATGACCTGTGATAGTTCAGTCAAATTAAACTGGTATTAAATGACTTGTATTTATTAGCCCCGCTAATAATGTACTAATGTACACTGTAAAACTTCTTTAGACACCCCTGAATTTCATGCATTTTTATATCTAAGCAATGCAATGGATATTTAAAGGTATAGCAAACTTGTAAAAGCCATCCCAACAGCACAACATGCTAAATCCCTGCCTATGCCGTATTTAAAGATCTATCCGGGAAATCCCAAAATATATTCTCATAAATAGATGAAAATAATCTGTCAACGCTGTTATGTTCACATTAGATATAGGAACTACTTTTCTGGTATGCACCATAATAATTAACCGATAGACTGGCTAGCGTAGGAATACACAGAGTTAGAGAGCAGTATATAGTCCTGCACTGAGAAGTGTCATGTAAGGCAGTATAACTCCAAATAAAAGCATTGTTAACCTTACTTTGGTGTCTGCTGGACGTATGTTGTGAAAGCGAGAAACACAACAGAATTGGCGACGAGGCTTTTTGAACGTACTCGCGTGTATAGGAGCTCACGTGGGAGTTCCCGGTGGTTCAAGGCAAGCTCCTGTTTTTTTTTTCTGGATGCTAACGGGCTACCTCCCTCTGCAGCCGACCGGCGGCGAATGTGATACGGTGAGTTACTAAAACGGGAGGAAGAGATTGAAATAACAATAATAAAAACAAATAAAAAAAAAATAATAAAAAAAAAACGAATTATGGCCGGCGCGATTGGAAATGTGGATGTTTTTGACAGTAACGTGGAGGAATGGGACACGTATATTGAAAGATTGGAACAATATTGCTTAGCTAACAACATTGAAAATGAGAGAAAAGTGCCCGTCTTGCTGAGTGTTATGGGCGCAAAGACATACAACTTGCTGAGGAGTTTAACCGCGCCACAAAAGCCTGCTCAGAAATCGTTCAAAGATATAACCAAACTGTTGCAGGACCACTTTAATCCGAAGCCACTTGTTATTGCAGAGAGATTCAGGTTTCATAACCGAAATCAGCAAAAGAACGAATCACTTCCCAACTACATGGCAGAGCTCAGGAAGCTCGCTGAGCATTGTCAGTTTGGCACGGGCTTGTCTGACGTACTCAGAGACAGGCTTGTGTGCGGTATGCATAGCGAAAGTATACAAAGACGACTCCTAACCGAAAAAGACTTGACATTAGCCAAAGCATTAGAAATTGCAGTGGCAATGGAAACTGCCTCAAGGGATGCATCGGAATTACAAAAGAAAATGACAAATGAAACTCATAATGTTAACAAATTCTCAACCAAGTCAGCAAAAGCAGCTGTATGCTTCCGATGTGGGAAAAGTTCTCATGACCAAGCAGACTGCTGGTTTCGTGACAAGAACTGTAGACATTGTAATAAAAAGGGCCACATACAGAGAATGTGTAAAATGAAGCAAAATGAGGAAAAACAAAGATTCCAGAAAAGAGATAAAAGGGTGAATGAAATGAATGACACAGATACAAGTGGATCAATCTCAGATGATACTGACACAGGGTTGGGGCATATAGCACTCCATTCAGTGTCAGGCAGTGATAAGAGGATGATATGGGTGACCCCAGAGATTGAAGGAAAGAAATTAAAAATGGAACTGGACACTGGATCAGCACTTTCTCTTATATCGCTGAAAGATTACAAAGCGAAGTTCGCAAATATTAAGCTGAAACGTACGCCACTGTTGCTGAAAACATATACGGGAGAAAAGGTGGCCCCAGTGG